CTCTCACTGGGATTAAACATGACAATAGGTCTGATCTGATTTCATCATCATTAAAAAAAAATCATCTATTATTTTTCACTTTATGTTTCTGTGTGGGAGCAAACTGTTGAAATCCTTACTTAATGTATGCTAAACTGATCTTCTATATATAAAGAGAATCGAAAATGAATCTTGATGTGAATGGAAGGGGAGAGGGAGCGGGAAAGGGGAGGGTTGTGGGTGGGAGGGAAGGTATGGGGGGGAAGCCATTGTAATCCATTATTCATACTTTGGAAACTTATATTCATTAAATAAATTAAAAAAATAAAATAAAAAAAATAAAAAAAAAGAATTAAAAAAAAATAAAATAAACCAGTACTATGAAATGGAAAAAAAAAAAAAATAGTCAGCTGAGCTGATCAGAACCCAGGAGCCAGGAGCTTCTTCCAGGTCTCCCACGTGGGTACAGGGGTCCATCTTTTAGTGCTTTCCCAGGCCATAACAGGGAGCTGGATTGGTAGAGGAGCAGCTGGGACTCGAACTAGCACCCATATGGGATGCTGGCACTGCAGGTGGTAGCTTTACTTGCTATGTCACAGCCACAGCGTCGGCCCCCATAATTTTATTTTAAACCATCACTGTGTTTAACAACAGACTTGCAACATTTCCTGAAAGCTGAGCAAGCACCAGCGAGCTCTCCATCCTGGCCCTGGGCCTTCTTGCTTCTGGATCTTCCTATTCATTTCCCCCACGTTTCACTTTTCTCTCTGCCCCCTTCTCTCCTCCGCCCCATCGCTGGTCCGTTGCCCACCCCGACTTTGCCCTGCCCTTCCAGCTCTGCGCCTGTTAGAGGTGCTGGTGGAGGAGGCTCCCTGTGCCGTCCACTCACCGCCGAGCCCTGCCTTTGGTGCCAGGAGGATGGCATGGACCTGTCTCCCAGCAGACAGGCAGAGCCCTGCGACCAGCCAGCATCACTTCTAGGCCGAAGCCCATTGGGCAGTGGGCAGTGACCTTGGCAAAGACCTGTGTTGAGAGGGCAGGGCCACAGGCTGGGGGAGCACAGGCCACTGGATTGCCACTTGGGAGGACCTTGTCCTACAGTCACCTGCACCCATGGTAGATTTCACCTAAGAAATCAGCGTCTGAGATGAGTGTTTGGTACAGCGGTTAAGACACTGCTGGCCTCTTCCGGCGCGGGCCGCGCTGTGGGCGCCCGCCCGGGCGGGCATGCTGCGGCCGGGCAGCTGGCTGCGGGGACCTGTACCAGGCCTCGGCGTCAGGGCCGACGCTCGGCTCCATTGCGGCGCCGGGATGCCCAAGAAAGCGGGTGCGACGAGCAAGGGTAGAAGCCAGAGCAAGGACCGCGAGGCACCGCTTCCTCCCTCGGGTTCCGTGGCTGTTGATCCTAAAGGTTGTGTCACCATAGCCATCCACGCCAAGCCCGGCGCCAAGCAGAACGCTGTAACAGATTTGACCGCTGAAGCCGTAATTGTGGCCATCGCAGCGCCTCCGTCGGAGGGAGAGGCCAATGCTGAGCTCTGTCGCTACCTCTCCAAGGTCTTAGAGCTCAGGAAGAGTGACGTGGTTCTAGACAAGGGTGGTAAGTCTCGGGAGAAGGTGGTGAAGCTCTTGGCCTCTACAACTCCAGACGAAATCTTGGGGAAATTAAAACAGGAAGCTGAGAAGAAGTAAAAGCGAGAAATGAAAAAGTCATCCGAGAGGAATTTACTGCTAATGATGAACAGACTACTAGACAGGAAAAAATGTTCAGATGCACAGAACGTGGGGAAATGCATGTGTGTGTATTAAATGTAAATAAGCCTCAGAAAAAAGTAGGAAGCTTGAAAGTTACTGCACACTGAATACAGGTTCAAAACCCCCAAACGACCTGGAACACCTGACTGATTTCACGGCATCACCAGATAACAGCGGGAGAATGTTCCAGAGGACCCGGCTTTGCCCCTTGCGTCCTGTGATGGGCTTCCGGTGCCCGCAAGTGCTCCAGGTCGCAGCGTGCAGGGTGGCACTGGCGGCCGGATGCCCCACCCCTGGCTGAGAGCATCACCCTGGCTGCACGCGGACGTGGAATCTCCGTAGCAAGTCTGGAACCCTGGGGCCGCCTCAGTCCAGTTTACCAGAGACAGGAAAACCAGGCAGGCACTGCTCTGAACCTTCACATTTCAGCACGATACTACATGCAAAAATGTGTTTTCACAACAATTTTGAGCATCTTGTGAAAAAGAATAATCAAGACCTGTAGCTTCACGTTAACGATTTCTGAGAAGACACTGAATTTCCTGCCTCCTCCATGGTAACCTCAGTCATCGAGCCAGGTAGTGCTTGGGGAATCTCCAAGGACCCCGCAGAGAAACACTAGGACTTGGAAGCGGTTTTCCGTGTGTGTAGGGGCCCATCAGAAGCTCCCTTGCCCTGCTCATCAGAGCTGATTCTCAGTCCTGTGCCTCGTCTGATAAATGCCTGAGAAAATGTGCTCACGGAGAAGCGAGTGGACAGCATCTGTCAGGCCAGTAATAAAGATTCTTGATGGTGAAGGAGCTGGAAGCCGCCCACCGGGCACAACTCTTATTTTGTTGCTGGGAACCAAGGGCGGGAAACTTTGGATGGCGTATTCAGGAAGACAGCACGCAGGAGCGGCAGGCCTTGACTTGGGCTCGCTGCCTTGTCTTACACTGCTGTCCTTGTCTACACCGCTGTGCGATACTGCCCCCAGAGGTGCTTCTGTTCTACACCGTCTGGACTCAAGTCACCCACTCTTTCCCCTTACTTTTTAAAGAAAACTTCTAAAAGTTTTGTATTTGAAAGAAAGAGTGATAGATCTGCCACCTGCTGGTTCACTCCTCAGATGGCCACAACAGCCTGGGCCAAGAGCCAGGAACTACCTCCACGTCTCCCACTAGGCGGCAGCAACCCAAGTACTTGAGTCACCCTCTGCTGCCTCCCAGCCACATTAACACGGAGCTGGACTGGAAGTAAAGATGAGACTCAGTCCCAGGCACTCTTACGGGGTGTGGGCCCCCAGACAGCAGCGTAACCAGCTGCGCTAAAGCACTCACCCCTTTCTAATTTCAGTCAAAGCATAGTTACATTTATGGGGTACACTGTAATAGTTTGCTACCTGTACACAATGTGTGCTGATCAGTTCAGAGTGATTCGCATTTCCGTCTCATTAACACTTGTCAGTTCTTTGTGTCTGGAAAAAAAAAAAAAAAAAAAGACACTGCTGGGGACACCAGCGTCCCCTGTCAGAGTTCCTGGGTTCAGTTCCCCGCTCTGCTTCTGATCCAGCTTCCTGCTGGTGCCCACCCTGGGAGGCAGCAGGTGATGAGGTAGTCGGGTTCCTGCCACCCACACAGGAGACCAGCATGGAGCTCCAGGCTTCCTGCTTGGCGTGGTCCAGTCCTGGCTGTTACAGGCATTTGGAGAGTGAACCAGTGGGTGGAAGATCTTCGTCTCTCTGCCTCTTGAATGTATACATTTTTAAACAATTAAAAAAAATTAAGCGAGAAGCCCCAGAGGTCTGGTGTTGCTGGTACCACAGAACTCCTCAGTCTCTCCCAGCCAGCACCCTCCTGACAGTGAATGGCCGGTGCGAGCTTGCGGGAGCAAGAAGCACGGTGTCCCTGCCTCAAGCCCGGGTCTCGGCAGCAGGGCCTCCGTTCACCCAGCACCCTGCCTGTGCAGCAGCTTCTCTGGGCTTGTTCATCGCAGGCCTGGACATCACAGTCAGCCTTAGTGCTCTAGGAGTTACACCCAGACTGAGGAAGCAAGAACACGGTGACCTACAAGAGACGGAACTTGCAGACGCTTGTCTGCCCTGGGCATGGAAATCCGGACGTCAGCACACGGGGTGGCAGGGCACACACAGAACGTGCGGCTCCGACCTCGCGTCCAAGGCGGGGGACCCACGTGTCACTCTTTTCCAACCAGAAGGGGAGAGAGAAGGGGTTGGGTACAGGAACCCCAATCCTTTTAAGCTGAGACCCCAACGTGCCGCGTGTCACTCCTGCTCATACCTCACCATGCAGAACACAGACATGTGGCCACGCCTGGACGCAAGGGGGCCTGGGAGAGGTGAGCCCTCGCCAGCAGCCGTGTGCCTGGCCCACACTGCACCGGGAGGGTGGGTGTGCGAGCCCCAGCCCCCTGGGTGCTCCGCCCCTCCGAGACACTGCCAGACGTTTCTCCCGGCTGACTGCACAGAGCGGCTGCAGCTCTAGTCCTGCCTCCCAGACACCGTGGTTCCAGGATGCTGCCTGCTCCTCCTAGCATGGGGCCCTGGTCTGCAGCAGGGGCCGGGGTTGGCTCCCTTCACTCCCCCCGGAGGGTCTCAGTGGCTTTCTGCACAGAGGTTTTCTCACTTTCACAAGGCAGCACACCTGACATCGCCAGCTTCACAGAGCAAACACCAGCACGGTCGGCCTGGCAATGTGCATAACCCAGGGTGGTCCCACACCCACCCAAACTGAGATGCAGCCTGCGGCTTTCCTCAAAAAACAAAATACCTTCTTAGAATACACAGGACTGTTGGGGCCGGTGCTGTGGCACAGTAGGGTAACGCCCTGGCCTGAAGCGCCAGCATCCCATATGGGCGCCGGTTCTAGTCCCAGCTGCTCCTCTTCCAATCCAGCTCTCTGCTCTGCCCTGGGACAGCAGTAGAAGATGGCCCAAGTCGTTGGGCCCCTGCACCAGCATGGGAGACCCAGAAGAGGCTCCTGGCTTCAGATCAGTGCAGCTCCGGCCTTTGCGGCCAGTTGGGGAGTGAACCATCAGATGGAAGATCTCTCTTGCTCTTTTCCTCTCTCTGCCTATCCTCTCTCTGTGTAACTCTGCCTTTCAAATAAATAAATAGATCTTAAAAAAAAAAAAAAAAAAGACAAGACAGGACTGCTGTAGCCGCACCTGGCAAACCCCACACTGGATCCCACAAAAGGGGCTCCTCCTTCCCAGGAACTTGCGGAGAAGTCTAGGGTTTGAGGCTGACAAAGGCTCTCTCCTTGCCCAACTCTGTGCAGGTGCCCCGCACTCTCCTCTCAGCCTGGTCCTGATGTTTGGCCTTCCACGCTCTCCTCCGTGTTGTCCAGTGTGTGCAAGAATCCTGCTGAGTCAGCTCGGTCCTTGATACCTGATCACTCTCCGACTCTGACTGGGTCCCCCCGACCCCCGCCATCCCCAGCTGAGATCTGGTCACCCAGACCTGCCTTCAGCAAGAATCCTGTTGGTTCCGTTTGGCCAGAATTCCCCTGACCCCTGAGCTTCCTTAGTCATGGTCCATCCCTGACCCTCACGCTGCACCTAGGCTATGAATCCCTGTAGTGCTGTGTTCGGAGCTGAGCCCCATTTCTCTCCTTGCACCCAATGCAACAGCACTGCATGAAGTCAGCCCCGCCACCTGTCACCAGCCACGAGGAGGCTCTGTAACAACTCATTGGCTTGTGGAGCTTCACTGCATCCATGGGGACCAGGTGCCTACCCCAGGAGGACGTGGGAGCAGAGGCCAGAAATGGGAAGGTGGTGCCGCAGAGGAGCAGGGAGTGAAGCCAAACCAGCTGGCGGACCTGAGTGCACCCGTGAGAGGGGGATCAAGGCACAGGCATGACTCAGCTCCCTGCACCAGAACACGGATTTCTCTCGGTCTCCCCGAGTCAGTCCTTCTTGGTGCAGGCCTATGCGGGTCTTAAAACTCCTCAGACTTGGCACAGGCACTGTGGTTTGGGGTAAGCCAGGGCAGGCAGTGCCTGCATCCCTTATCAGCACACAGCGTGAGTCCCAGATTCTCTGCTTCCAACACAGCTTCCTGCTAACATAGCTGGGAGGGAGCAGACGATGGCCCAAGTACGTGGGTCTATGCCACCTGTGCGGGAGACCTGGGTGGAGCTCCTGGCTCCTGGTTCTTCCATCTGGCCCAGCTCCCTCACATGGGGAAATGTGCCGAGTAGTGGCACTCTGTCCTCGCTTTGGCTTTGCCACCATGGGGACCGGGGCGACTGTTTGTGTCGACTCGTGTGGCAGTTCCTGCTGGTGGATGCAATGGTGAGAAGCCCCATGAAATGCACAGTGTGGAGACAGCGCCGCCCAGCGGCGTGTAAGGACAGCACCACAGAGGCTAGGGAGGAGCAAGGGGACCCAGAGCTGCTGGCTGCCTGCACGGCTGAACGGTAGGAGCTGGAACCAGCTCTCCAGAACGCTGCTGGAGCCTCCGCAGCCCCTGCGGCAGCTGAGGGGCTGGAAAAGCGAGTGTTCCATTCTTCATCCAGAAACAAGCCAGGAAGAGGGACTGTCGGGACTGAGTACTGAGTACTCACCCAACACGCATCAAACGAGATACAGGCGATGGGAAGGAGACTCAGAAAGGATTCTGCACCCAGATTTGTTTTATCTCATTCCTGTGACCCAGTGAGAGTGACTGGGTGTCGTGGTTCAGGGGACACTGTGGGTGTCCTCCAGGGGCCTGTGTGCCAGGGGCGTGGTCCCCAGTCTTTTGTTCACAGCCAGTGGATTTGTGCCAATGGCTGATGGATTCAGGCTTGGACCCAGGACAGTGTCGGGAGTAGGCTCGAGAATGGTGCTCATGGGCTGCCCTGGGAAGGGGGTGCCGAGAAGGCCGAGTGGGGCTCACTGCTGCTTCCTGGCTCGCCGCGGACCCACCCTCCACACGCTCTGCCACCACTAGTCTTGCTGGACGCCAGAGCAGTGTGGCCACCCAACTTTGAGCCGCGAACCTCCAAACTGGGAGCTGAAATACACCTCCCTCCTGCACCCACAGCTTCTCTCAGGGATTTTAAATAAAGTAACGCAAAGCTGACTGACACAACAGGCGTTCCCTTATACGTTTTCAGTTAAAGTGATGAGCTTCCACGCACGGAAGTTATTCTGCATCACAGCCTGCGGTAACTGACATCTCCCCACTTGTCAGCTGTGACTCCCATCACACCCTGTATCAAGCAGGTGCCACCAGTCTTCTCTTCATGCTCCCGACCACTACTGTAGCTCGGTGGGTTAAGCCACCACTTAGGATGCTCACGTGCCATGTAACAGTGCCTGAGTTCTGGTCCTGCCTCCACTTTTTTTTTTTTTAAGATTCATTTACTTATTTGAAAGACAGAGTTACAGAGAGGGGGAGAGAGAGAAAGATCTTCCATCCACTGATTTACTCCTCAGTGGCCACAGTGGCCAGGGCTGGGCCAGGCCAAAGCCAGGAGCTTCTTCTAGGTCTCTCATGTGGGTGCAGGGGCCCACGCACTTGGGCCATCT